TGTTTTACAAAATAATGATTTATCAAGCTTTTTTACCAATTCATGTGATTTAAAGAGTTTGAATATTTTTTATATTAAAAACTTTTATTAAATTTTTAAAGATTTTTCTTGTAAAATTGTATAAAAAAGAATTTGTGCTTGCTCCTTTAGTCCATGATATTGGATGGTAGAAGGATCAACATAAAAATTAAGCAAATTTTAGCAACTGTATAATGTATCATAACGCAAAATTTAAAGTTGTATTTTTCTGTTAGCTATTTTACATGAACAAATTTTTAATATATGAGTATTTTTTCTATTATATTTTCCACTATACTTTTCCAGTTGAAAAAGTATATTAGGGCAAGCAAAATGTTCATTCGAGCTGTTTGGATAGAAAATACAGAGAAATAAAGAGAAAAAATTCGATTGATAATTTTTTGTGCTGCCCATCTTCATTAAATGTAATAAATTGTTTCAATGAAATGCATAAACCGCATCTAACTAATACAGATTTATGCTGCTCAAAATTAAATGTCATGAAGATAATGTAATTTTTTTTTAATTAAACTTTAAGTCATTACTTTTTTTCCTTGTTTTTTTAACATGCTTTCATTCTGTATATGTTGTTTTCAGTGTTTAGATATATTCTTTATTATATATTCTTTATTATATAATGTATTTAAAATATTTTTAAATTGAATGAATATTCTTAGATCATGAGTTATGTGATAAATTTGAATTTGCCACTACTAGGGATACTCAGATAGAATGAGATTCAGAAAACGGTAACTATTTTAAAAGATACTTAATTCAAGTATTATTAGTTTTATTTTGATATTAATTTTTATAGGAGCCACTACCATGCTTATGCAAGAGAAAACATAATAACCAACTGAATAGTCAGCAAGTACCTACTCCTGTAACTCAAAAAAAAGAAACAGAAAACATTTTTTATACATACTCCACATACTGTAGCTCAAGGTATTAATTGTCTGTCTGCAAGTTGATTTAGGAAGAAAAGATTCTGAACATTTTTTTCTATGCTTCAGTGATTTACACATTTTATTGGTTGCTAAATTAATACATTTTATTTAATTTATGAATAATGTTTTATTTTATAAACCTTTTGTTCTTGTGTTTCAACGCTTTTAGAAATTAATTAATGTTTGGTTCTTTTGTCTTTCTGATATATCTTTATTGTTAGAAAGAGATGTTAGTAAAAACTCTTTCCAGTAATTAAAGTAATATCATGAAAAATAGTTCTGAAATTCTATGGATGAACTTGCAGCAGTAATTTAATGATTATGATAAAAGTTTAAATGATTCTTGGGTGAGGTCAGAAGTGATGGGTTGTTTCAAACTATGCCTTTTTGCAGTTTTATTATTGTTTTTTGAAAAAGTATTTATTAATAAATTAGCCTAAGTTAATCTACTTGTACCTTTTTATAAATGTACTATAAAAATAATCTGGTGTAATTATTTTCTTAAACCTTTAGGTTAACAAACTTTCTAAAATTGGAGGTAAAACCATTAAGACAAATACAAAAAAATGTGATGCTAAGGTTTGTTAAAAGTAGTTTTAAATAAAAAATCTTTTGAATCTTTTTATTATAGTTTGTTTTAAACTTGTGTTAAAAATATCTGTAGCATATATTTTTAAAAGTTTGGGAAGACATAAAATAAATCTTTTTTTTTTGTAACTGTTTTCTCTTACTTTTGTATTTCCTTGAGCTAAAGAACAACCTTAAAGTACAAAGGTTGATTTGTAACGCATACTTAGCCTTTTTTTTTACTCGATATATACATACATATATATGTACATAAATAAAACATACATATATATGTATGTATATATAAATACATATGCTTATATGAATATATTATATATATATATATATATATATATATATATATATATATATATATATATATATATATATATATATGTATATATATATATATATATATATATATATATATATATATATATATATATATATATATATATATATATATACATATATATATATATATTTGCAATAACTGCTTCATTGCATTGTGGCATGCTTGCAATTTATTTTTTATAGTTTCTGTCAACTCTGGGTTATTATGCGCGATCTTGATAATCTCCATAAGATCTTGCTTATTAGTAAGATTTTTTTTTTCCAATCTCTTGCTTTACTATTTCCCAAATGTTTTCTAATGGGTTAAGATCATGCGAGTTGTCTGGCTATAGCAATACATCAACTAAGCCATAACAGTTTTTATTGTGTGGCAAGTTGCACCATCCTGCATAAATAAAAGATTTTTGACATTATTTTTAATATTTTTAAATTTTTTTGTCAATTTTTGACTTTTTTGGCTGGACATCAATCCCTCTTCTTTTAGCCTTCTACAAATGGTCCGGTCTGACACAACAATTACAGCTTCATGGATAAGCTTAGTAGCTTTTTTTCTGTTTTCCAGGCAGATATTTCTGATTATACTGTCCGCTCTTGGTGTTTCCTTGCATTTAGAAGGTGGTCTCCTTGGACCAAACTCATCCCCTGTATCAGGGGATGAGTTTGGTCCAAATGGTGGTGGTCAATGAGTTTGATCAAATGGTGGTGGTCGGCGCGTATAAGGCAATTCACCCGATGTATAACATTCATACTTTTTCTTAGTTGTTCTGGAACTATTGATAATTGTTATTATTGATAAATTGATAAATATATTACTGATAATTAAAACTTTTTTTTTCAAACATTTTACTTTATTTGCATTGTATATACCCAGCAGGCACAATGATTTTGAAATAACGTTGAAACAACGTCGCAAACCGACCATATGCCACGTTGAAACAACGTTGAAATTTGGTTGAATTGGAAATAAAATCCGACGTCGAAAACTACGACGTTGAAACAACGTCGATGAATATGTCGTTTCAACGTTGATTTAACGTCTTATCGACTACATATCAACCATGTTTCAACTTTGAATAGGTGATATATTCGATTGTTACGTAGTTGATAAGACGTTAGAACAACGTTGAAACAACGTAAATTCAACGTTGATTTTTGTTTTTTATTTTGGTTAAATCCAATTAACTAAAAAATTATCTCAACTTTAATTGCAATAAAATAACACAATAAAAAAGCAATAATTTGCGCAGAGGATATTATATTTCACGTAAATTAATCAGATACAACTAAATTGCTTCAACGGACTTTATATACAATGCAAATAAAATAAAATGTTTGAAAAAAAAGTTTTATTTATCAGTAATATATTTATCAATTTATCAATAATAACTATTATCAATTGTTCCAGAACAACTAGGGAAAAGTATGAATGTTATACATCGGGTGAATCGCCTTTTACGCGCCGACCACCTGTCGAGTGCGTATTTTAATAAAGTCATTATTCCTTTTCTTATTTCGCCAACTGTAGCAGTCGCTTTAATTGACAAAACTCTCTCTATAAAAAAGGTATTGCCTGAGTAATTTGCATCAAATACATCAAAAAGTTGAAAATAAAATAGCATTAAAAAAACGAACTGTGGTTTTTAAAAAATATAAAATTTTACACTGAACTTACAAGTAAATACCTAATTTTTGTTCCTTTAAACTTCTCTTTACCTTTACCGCCAGCCATATTAAATTTTGATTATAAACCATTGGTCAACAACATGCATTATACATTGTTATTATTATTACAGTTACATTAAAAATTGATAAACATGTCTTTACAAAATACAAATTATTCTCAATGAAAAATTGCACAAACCGCAAAGGTTTCTTACCAAACCGTAATGCAAGTAAGAAAAAGAATTGATACAGGGGATGAGTTTGGTCGAAGGAGACCACCTTCTAAACGCTAGAAAACACCAAGAGCGGACAGTATAATCAGAAATATCTGCCTGGAAAACAGAAAAAAAGCCACTAAGCTTATCCATGAAGCTGTAACTGTTGTGTCAGACCGGACCATTTGTAGAAGGCTAAAAGAAGAGGGAATAATGTTCAGCCAAAAAAGTCAAAAAGTGACAAAAAAATTCAAAAATATTAAAAATAATGTCAAAAATCTTATATTTATGCAAGATGGTGCAACTTGTTACACAATAAAAACTGTTATGGCTTAGTTGATGTATTGCTATGGCCTGACAATTCGCATGATTTTAACCCCATAGAAAACATTTGGGAAATAGTAAAGCAAAAGATTGGGAAAAAAAAATCTTACTAATAAGCAAGATCTTATGGAAGAGATTATCAAGATCTGGCATAATAACCCAGAGTTGACAAAAACTATAAAAAATAAATTGCAAGCACGCCACAATGCAATGAAGCAGTTATTGCAAATAAAAGTGTTTTTGCAAAACGTTTACACTTTATATATATTTTATATCATTTATCATAATAATCAATAAATATTCAAAATGTTTAACTTTATTTATTTATTTTTATCAAGTACAACTTTATAAATAAAAGAAAAAACTTTAAATTGTACCATTATTAATATATATATATATATATATATATATATATATATATATATATATATATATATATATATATATATATATATATATATATATATATATATATATATATATATATATATATATATATATATATATATATATATATATATATATATATATATATATTTATATATATATATATATATATAATATATATTCATATAAGCATATGTATGTATATTTACATACATATATATGTATGTTTATTTATGTACATATATATGTATGTATATATAGAGTAAAAAAAAAGGTTTAGTATGCGTTACAAATCAACCTTTGTACTTTAAGGTTGCTCTTTAGCTCAAGGAAATACAAAAGTAAGAGAAAACAGTTACAAAAAAAATTATTATCAGACCTAAAAAAAAAAGATTTATTTTATGTCTGATTTGAATTCGTCAAACTTTTAAAAATATATGCTACACATATTTTTAACATAAGTTTAAAACAAACTATAATAAAAAGATTTAAAAACTTTTTTATTTAAAACTACTTTTTTTAACAA